TTTTTATTTAAACCTTCATTCAAAAAAGGTACAGCAGTTATTTTATTGAAGTCCTTCATAATGTTTTTGTGCCCGTTCCCAGAGGTCCAGATGAGATCAAATATGATTTGGCACACCTTAACACCAGATGTGTCTCAGAGAGAACATTTGGCCTTTTAAAATCATAGGACCTTTCTGATCCAGAATTATATTTCTTACAGTGGCCTGCCAGACAGAATTCCTTTTGTCTTTTAATTTGTTTTGCTTTTCTTTTCATATAAGTGCATCTTAGTTTTGCAATATAGTAGGGTCTCAACATTTGCAAGGGTTCAGTGCAGAGGACCATCGTGATTAATCAAATTTGCATTTAACCTAGTCCAACCCTATACCATCACATAATGTACAACAGTATTTATGGTTAAATGGCATAAGTAACCCCCTTATATGATAATTAAAGTATTAATGCAGTGCCTTCAAGTTAATTAAAATACAATTGATTAACTAAAACAAACAACAGTAATCCCAAACTTAAAGTAATCAGATAAAATTAACAACATGAATCCCTCCTCTGTGTCCAAGGGATGCCTGCACTTTTATCTGCATGACTAACGCACCCCACTGTAAAGAATGGGCAATAAAACTGTCAGAGAGCCTGGAAAGTCGTCTCCAGCCTGTCATTCTCCACACTGCAAACAGAACCGGGAATGTATGTTACAATGTAAAAACAAGACCACATTGAAATATTGAGAGATGCTGTATATTGGGTGCTTGGACAGGGGACAGGAAGAGGCTCACTCATTAGCTAGATTCGACTTATGATCCTAGTCTTTTGCACAGCTAATTAGAAAGTTCCACTTGACCTCTCGCTCTGTTTCATCCGGCTCTGCTCTTCTTTCATCCAAGACCCTGTCGGCCAGACTGAATCACAAACAAGTGAACGCGAGCATGGGAAATTTGCAGATCAACTATACAGCCAGTAGTACAACTAAAATTGTAATGGTAAATTTAGACCACACAAACACTCCTGTTGCATTTGTGGTCTTTTATGCCCATACCTTATAATTATTTCACTTCATAAAGTTGTATATTGCTAAATATATAGTATTCAGTTTTAATGCAGGTACATCAGTATTTCCCTCAGCATTTGGATTTTCATTTTTTTTTCTGTTGATTCTGAGTTTACACATAAAGACTTCTATGTTTTATGTTTTTTGTCCGAAACAATTTAAAGTGTCTTCCAGTATACAGTATATTAAGGACCTTGCCTTCTTTTGTAGTTAGAGGTTAATAATAGAAGAGTAGCTGACATCTTACTAGTTTGTAACCCAGAATCACATTTCAACCCCAGCCAAATTAGTATATCAAAATAATGGAAAGATCTGCACAGCTGTAACTTATTTCAGGTTAAATTAAGATCTGGGTGATTATGGCAGCTGTTTATTTGCTGGGGGCGGGGGGGGTACAAAAGACTTATTTATTCAGGCAGGAAGAAATAGAATGCAAAACGTGATCATCATTTCTTTCTTGTTGCTCCTCCCAGACAAGCACTTTGTCTTGCATCAAATACAATTGATCCTGTAGCAGTGTAATCACAATTACTCACCTTCTTAATTGGCCTGCCTGAAATCAGAAAATGGAAACCGATCGTCAGTGTAGTGATCAATAGTATTATCAGAAAGCGGGTGGGGGCTGGGGAGATGGGAGTAATGTGGAGATCAATTGGCCGCAAATGTCAATCATTGGGTGTGTTTTGCATGACAATCATGTCTGTCTCTAAGAGCTGGGAGAGCAAGACATAGCTCACCTCATAGATTTAACTGGTGGATTGTTCTGAAATTAAAAATGAGTGGGCCTACAAAAAGCTTGAAGTGGGTGAAATTCCATCATGTAGCTTTTTTAAAGGTAAATATTTGTTTTAATGTGGTTTTCTGTTTTTTCTGTCTTTGAATACAAATTTTAAAAAGTCTAAAAGTTTGTAGCAAATTAGTTGTCTTTTGCAATATTCATTTGTTTAGTTTCACTTAATTACCTTTTAGGCTGTTTGATATACATAGGATCTGTTCAATATCAATGTGCTTTTTGCAGATTCATTTATATATTTTTTTCTTGTGTGAAAATAAACATCATTAACATTTATTAACCTAAAATTATTTTCAGCTTGATATAAATGTATCTGCTAATGTATTTTGGTAGCTTAATGTATGGAGAATGCAGTAAGCCTTTGTTTATCTTATTTCTGTTACATTTTTAACTGTGGTATGTTTGTATTGACATAGTTTTAAGATTGAGTTTGTAATAAAGATTATATATTCAGCAGTATTAAATGAGAATTGCTACTGTCGCATTCCAGTCCATTTTCATAACTTGTTTGGCCTATTTGATCATAGATGATGGAGAATAAATCTGGTATAGTGGTTTTCTCTTTAAAAGACAAGTTGTTTGCTTTATCATTTCTTTTAAGGAGCCTTGATAGTTTTACTTTGCTCCAAATTATTGGGCGATCATACTTTCCCGACCTGTTGATTTAATGTTTATTCCCTTAGCATCCCAACAAACCGGAAGGTGTTACTGTTCTCTACAGTATATAAACTGTTGTAGTTTGGGTGCATTGGTCTTTGCATTTAGGTTGTATCCACTTTTTTAAACCTCCTGTGAAAGCATAACATAATTAATCACTGAGCATTGTGGACTTTTTTAACAATGCTTCTCTTATTTGACCCCTCCTTAAACTAAAGGAAAAATAACAGTGCTCCAGATTGGACTAGTTCGCATCTGAAGTAACCAGCAGTATTAGTCCTGGTTCCAGGATTGAGCAGGTCTGTGTTACATGTCATCATCTTTTTTTTTTGTTCTGGTGATGTATGATACTTAAAGGCAAAGTGCTGAGTGAGAGCATAAAACCCAGAGATGTCATAATAGTTGCATATATAGAAGTCAAGAAGTCGTTTCTGATGATGATGATAATACATTTTATTTGTAAGCGCTTTTCGGAAAATTCAGATGTGGCCTTTTTTGGCTTTTTTTTCCCCTACAGCAGGCAACAGAATGGGACTTTGCGAGGTCAGAACCTAAAACCCTTTGAATGTGGGCTTTGAAATGAATTCCATTTGAATATGAGGGATGTTTTTCACCAGTTATGAGGAGTTGACATTTGACTTCAATTTTTCAGAGCAAATGCTGTAGTTGTTTTCAGATATCTTTGCTGTGAGCATTCCGATGGTAGGAGAACAATAAATGTTGAGCATTCTGTCTAGCAGTGTGAGTCTGCTAATGGCTTTGTAACAAATGATAATTCTGAGTGCCGTGACGAGTGTGACCCATTATCACGAGGCGATCTGAAATGTCAGTCTTGTGGCAGGAGTTTCTAATCAAGGTCATGCCACAATCTGCCAGCGTACCAGCTGGCTAATGACTTGTCTTGGTTGGACAGATGCAAAATTGGCATCTCTGATAGTTTCATGTGGATGCCAGACTCATGACTCTTGAGCTAATTTTGAGAGTAATAAAAAAAGCTAATGTGTTTGCAGTTTTATATGTGCCACAAAAAAAATAGAAATGTGCAGCTCTTTCCAGATGCATCAGAATGAACAATGCTAGTCGCTTTGATGAGTCACGTAGTAGTAAGATCAGTTTGTCAGCTGTAAGGGCTGTTTAAACAGGGAGGAAAGCTAATGAGGTGTCTCTTGGGACATGAACAATTTTACCTTGTGACAGAATTCCTTGGAGCCATTTTTTCCCCCACATTAAATGTTTGCAGATCAGGTCTGCATGGACTTCTGAAAGTGAAGGACTGGGGCTTTGTCATTTGAATGCAATCATTACATCCAAATGAAAATGTGCTTAGTACCTTTTGCATGCATCTCCCCTCAGTGGGTAGAGCTGAAGAATATTGTTTGTAGGCAAGAGGAGCAGGAGAACAGAGCCTTTTACAGATTCAGCCTTTGTTGAACTCAGTACGCACACCAGAACAGAGCAGACAAAAACCTAAAATTTTCAAACCCTTTTTATACAGTATAGTCTCATGTAGTACGTGACAAGTTAGAGTGTTTCATGTGGTTTTTGTCCTGTTCGCTTCTCTTAACAACCACGTTAAGAGAAACAAACCAATTACTGCTGACTTTACAAAGTAAGTTCTTATCTCCCTTGAACAGAGCACGAGGCCATTGGTGACATATACAGAGCCGTATAGCTAAGTTAGCACATTCCAATAATCATTCCCTACATACCACAACACAATCAAACGCTAACACTATAACCCTGAATATGTGTCGATATATTTGTCCCACTTCATCACGCACAAAAATGGACAAAATAACAGTGGTGTTATTTTGAAATGCAGTCAAGTCGAGGAAAAGATAACTGAATATTGACAATAATATTGACCTTGGCTTTCTGTTATTCCATTTTACTAGTCTGTGATGTACTGTACATCCCCAGAGAAATGGAATGACCTCTTTTAAACTAGACAGATATTTGTTAAGAATTTATGGAGTTAGCCTTTTTAATTTTTTTGGTGACCTCCCTGCGACTTCACAGATGAAAGAACGAGGATGTGTAGGTACACTCTTCCTCCCTGGCCGTCTTCATGAGCAGCGTTGCTCTTTTTTAAAACTTTTTGTGATCACCTTCCATCTTAACATATGACAGGCAATGCTGCCTAAGATACTGGAGATTCAGCAGCCAGAGGCACATCCCACACAGACAGCACCACTAACCCACAACTGCTTGAGAGACTGGAGTGGTGGTTCTGTAGCTAAGAACCTAAAAAGAGCCCTGGCCAACTCGCAGCCTGCCCTTGACAGTGCCCATCCAATTGTGCACCAGTCCTTGAGAAATCCCCATCACCGTCAGCTAGTGACATGACTGTGGCTCGGACCAATGTTCATAGACCTCACCCTGTATTGGGGTGAGAACCTTTACTGTTTAAGACACTCAGAAGGCCATCACAGCGAGAGCCTTTTGCAACATCTGGCTTAAGCAATAACGAGTGAAACCGTCTCTTGTCTGCACTTTTCTTGCAGCACAAAAAGCGACCAGTTCAATGTCTCCATTCAGCCTGCAGTGGGCGAGCTGTTCCTGCCTGTCACCATGTTGGAACAAGACTTTCGGAAGGAGCAAGGTGAGTGGACCAGCACAGCCTGGATGATGTCTCTTATTGATGACATTCACATTAGTAAAGCCGTGATCCCCACACAGCTCTTCAGTGTTTGCAATTGTATAGTGACATTGTATTGGACTGTTAGGAGTCCACAGTCCTTGGCAGGGAAGATAGCTGCTGGTTTTTTTTTTTCAATGGATGTAAATTGTTTTTGAAAATACTACTAGTAAGCTCTGATGGTTAATATTTGTAACCATAAGAGGTCATGTCTAATGCATTATCAGTTATAAACAATGTATATGTTTCTAATTATGTGATCTGTAAAGGCAAAATTCTAGACATATAACAGCTTCGCTTTCTGTTGGCCATTTTCCAAAATGTCTTTATTAGAAACTTGTATTCTTTTGAAAATATAGTCTAGTCTAATAGTCTCAAATCTAGGTTAGCAAGTCAAGTGTTTTTGACGTTTGGAGTGATCAGCTTTTAATTTCCAACTTCACATAGGTGCAATTTTAAGATAGTATTCTTCTGCACACTGTGTTCTCTGTCAGCCCCTTTGAATTTCTTGTTTCAATACGTGGGAGTAATTCCTTATGGTTTTTTTTAAGACCTAGGAACTTTTATCTTTTTGTGACAGGTTAAAAAAAAGGGCTTTTGCTCCCTATAGTTTAGCCTTTTCACCTTCCTTTTTCTTACCAAATCTTAATTGACCATCATTTTCTGTGCTGCCCAACTCCCATCTTGCACAAGTAAATCTGAACTCCTTGAGGTAGCAAAGAGCCTCAGGTATGCCACCTCTCCTACTCAGTTAATCCATCTGGGGCTGTACATTTACAAAGCCAATCAAATTATTCGCCTGTTTTTCCCCTGCTCCTTTTCCTGGTGCCTTGATGTTTTGATCAAGTTCTGTTTGCCTTGCTGCGATGTAGCCACTTCCCTGACTGGCCAAACAGAACCATGAGCAGAGAGGAGAAACGCTCTGTGAGAATTGCAGCGGGCCTCTGTGGACTTGTTGCC